AGGTAACACTTTAAAAGTCTTTACAGATTTACAGTTTATAGTTACACAGGAGGCTGGGTACTAGAATTATTGCTCTCGCTCTGACATTCGCGTTGATACCTCACATGCGAGTGTGATCGCTGTTTACGTAAGCGTGGCGGGACCAACGCAGTGATTGGCCTTTACACAAGCAGTGGTGAACGGAGGTGCTTTAAATTTTTTTTTTTTCAATTATTTATTTTATTTAAACTTTATTGCTATCACACAGGATGAACAGCATCCCTTGTGATGGCATGGGCTGTGACAGGTCCTCTTTATGGAAAGGTCTGGGGACTATGAGACCTCTGGCCTTAACGCATAGAATGCATGAAGGTAAAAAAAATTGAGACTTTAGAACCACTTTAACAGGTTTTTAGATATGGATCTTTCAGTGGATCCTCGTATATGTTTATGGGCTATGTTGATTTTTCACTGCTCAAGCCACCAAAGCAAATTACTGTTATACATGCATTGTTTATGGCCCAAAGTCAAATCACCCAATTTTTTGGATAGGAATTGGCAAGTACTCATCTACGCTTATTCTTTTCTTTTTCCCCTTTTTTTCTTACCTTTAACTTGTTTGCTATATAGGAATTCTAGATCTACTATATATATTTACTATTTACCATTACTATGGTACAGACTTCAGGCAGCCATAATAGTGTCGTCTCAACGGATTATCCTGTATGGCCCCTCCCACAGCTCTGTTTTTATTTATTTATATATATATATACACATATATATACACACATATATATATATATATATATATATACACACACATACATACATACATATATATATATATATATATATATATATACATACATATACACATATACATGTGCACATATGAGCATGTCCTCAGGCTTGAAAAAGGAGCAGTTACGGGCTGAAACGCTCACATTGCGGCCCCCCAAGAGAGTGGCATTGTGGTCCGGCAAAGTCTATGCACTCCAGGATCTCCAGTTTATTTCTGGTGTCCTACACAGCTCCCAACAGCGGCATCTACTTCCTGGCCCCTTAAGACACACCGAGGCTTGATTAAAAAATGCACTGGGTGGATTACATGCTCTTACTTTTATGCATCTTCTAAATTGCCACTTGTAATTTTTAATAAAGTATTTTCTTAGATACTGCACTTAGTTGGCGCCCTCTGCCATTTCCTTTATATAGTGTTGCTAGTGCACGATCGACGTCTGTCAGTGTCCCCAGGGCACCATCTGTCACAGTGTCCCCAGGGCACCATCAACATCTGAACACTATGTCCAAAAAATACACCAAGCAAGCAGGCATTCCAGATACAAATTATGAGAGTAGAACTCTCACTTCCAGACCCATATTCTGAATATGAGTCAGTTGAAAGCAGTGAGTCAGTAACAGATTCTGAGGAGGAGTGGGTCTCAACAAACATTCAGGCAATCTGAGGAGAAGCAGGCGACCACCAGTCATGCTATAAATCCTGGTGAAGTGGCAAGCACAAGCAGAGCAGTACTCCCAGATGATAGGCCAGGTGGCAGTAGTGGGGTGCAACCATAAAGAAGTAGGGCCCATAATATACTGTAATTCCTTATAAGTAGAGATGAGCGAATCGAACCAGGCGAAGTGGAATTCGTTTCGAATATCGGGAAAAATTTGATTCGCATCGAATCCGAATTTTAGCCAACTTCGGGTGCACGAATCGAATTTTTCCCGATCAGCCGGCAAAAGTGTCACTGCAGAGAGCTCCGCTATTTCTGACAGTTCATTTACAGCGGTTGAAACATTGTATCTATTTGTTTCCATTTAGGATACAGATGTTTTTATTCGGAAATAAATAGATACAATGTTTCAACCGCTGTAAATGAACTGTCAGAACTGTCAGAAATAGCGGAGCTCTCTGCAGATACACTTTTTGCTGTACTGGAATACTTCTTCTTTTCATTCTTCTTCTTCTTTTCATTCTTCTTCTTTTCATTTCTTCTTCTTCTTCTTTTCATTCTTCTTTTCATTCTTGTTCTTCTTCTTTTCATTCTTGTTCTTCTTCTTTTCATTCTTGTTCTTCTTCTTTTCATTCTTGTTCTTCTTCTTCTTTTCATTCTTCTTCTTCTTCTTTTCATTCTTCTTCTTCTTCTTTTCATTCTTCTTCTTCTTCTTTTCATTCTTCTTCTTTTCATTCTTCTTTTCATTCTTCTTTTCATTCTTCTTCTTTTTCATTCTTCTTTTCATTCTTCTTCTTCTTCTTTCTTCTTCTTCTTCATTCTTCTTTTCATTCTTCTTCTTCTTCATTCATTCTTCATTCTTCTTTTCATTCTTCTTCTTCTTCTTTTCATTCTTCTTCTTCTTTTCTTTTCTTCTTCTTTTCATTCTTCTTTTCTTCTTCTTCTTTTCATTCTTCTTCATTCTTCTTCTTTTCATTCTTCTTCTTTTCATTCTTCTTCTTTTCATTCTTCTTCTTCTTCTTTTCATTCTTCTTTTCATTCTTGTTCTTCTTCTTTTCATTCTTGTTCTTCTTCTTCTTTTCATTCTTGTTCTTCCTCTTCTTTTCATTCTTCTTCTTCTTCTTTTCATTCTTCTTCTTCTTCTTTTTTCATTCTTCTTCTTCTTTTCATTCTTCTTTTCATTCTTCTTTTCATTCTTCTTCTTCTTTTCATTCTTCTTTTCATTCTTCTTCTTTTCATTCTTCTTCTTCTTTTCATTCTTCTTCTTCTTTTCATTCTTCTTCTTTTCATTCTTCTTTTCATTCTTCTTCTTTTCATTCTTCTTCTTCTTTTTTCATTCTTCTTTTCATTCTTCTTTTCATTCTTCTTCTTCTTTTCATTCTTCTTCTTCTTCTTTTTCATTCTTGTTCTTCTTTTCATTCTTGTTCTTCTTTTCATTCTTGTTCTTTTTCATTCTTCTTCTTTTCATTCTTCTTTTCATTCTTCTTCTTTTCATTCTTCTTCTTCTTTTTCATTCTTCTTCTTCTTCTTCTTTTCATTCTTCTTCTTTTCATTCTTTTCATTCTTCTTCTTCTTTTCTTCTTCTTCTTCTTCTTCTGGCAACTCCACCACGCAGCTCATTTTTGTTCCAGTATTACTGTATTTTGCTCCTTCAAAATCCTGAAACTTTCTTTTGGCAGGTGTACAGACTCAGGTACTCAGTGCAGGAATGGTGGGAATCCCTCACAATGGACACAGCAGGTGTACATACAGACCCAGGAATTCAGCACAGGGATGGTGGGAACCCCTCATAATGGGCACAGCAGGTGTGCATACCCAGAACCTCAGCACAGGGATGGTGGGAACCCCTAGTAATGGGCGCAGCAGGTGTGCAGACCTGGGACCTCAGCACAGGGATGGTGGAAACCCCTCATAACGGGAACAGCAGGTGTACAGACCCAGGAATTTAGCACAGGGATAGTGGGAACTCCTCCTAATGGGCAGAGCAGGTGTACAGACCCAGGAACTCAGCACAGGGATGGTGGGAACTTCTCATAATGGGCGCAACAGGTGTGCAGACCTGGAACCTCAGCACAGGGATGGTGGGAACCCCTCATAATGGGCACAGCAGGTGTGCATACCCAGAACCTCAGCACAGGGATGGTGGGAACCCCTCATAATGGGCACAGCAGGTGTTAGGGGGTTTAACTCTCCAGCATCCATTAGAGACTGATATAGTAATATAGTTCATTCTTCTTTTCATTCTTCTTCTTTTCATTCTTCTTCTCCTTTTCATTCTTCTTTTCATTCTTCTCATTCTTCTTTTTTCATTCTTCTCATTCTTCTTTTCATTCTTCTTCTTCTTCATTCATTCTTCTTCTTCTTTTCATTCTTCTTCTTCTTTTCATTCTTCTTCTTCTTCTCATTCTTCTTCTTCTTCTTCTTCTTCGTCGTGCCCCGTGACTGCCCAAATGAGTGAAGTGTGCGGTGATTCTAAGATCGACGGCACTCATCTGCATGTCATACTGACTGACAGTATTATTTCTCTTCCCCCAGCAGACTCCAAGGGCATTTAAATTAAAGGTACAGTGTTCTGCACTAATATAAAGGCTCTCTGAAGCCTAGAAACCCTTTAAATAAGTTAAATTTGCGGCGAATAAATTCGCATTGAATCGAATTTCTCCCGCAAATTCGGCGAATCAGCCGAATCGAATTTTTGAATAATTCGCTCATCTCTACTTATAAGCCTTTCAATGCTGTGATGATGTCAGAATGTTTATGCACTGGACCTCGAATTGTGTTAATTTTAAATTAATTTATTTCAATAAACATATTGAATGAGAAAAAGTAGGGCCCATAATAGCCTCCCAGACTTGCTTTTAAATCCTATATGGCTGCTCTCTAATTCAGTAGAACCTACAATACCCCCCTTTTACAGCACAGCCAGGCCCTCAGATAGTAACAGAAAAGGTTACGCCAATTTTATTTTTTGCATTTATTACTGATGATTTACATAGTGGAAAAATGCAATCTTTATGCCAGACAATTAATTACCAACAATTCAAATTCATTTTTATGCCCATCCATTTATGTGGAAACCTGTAATCATGGAAGAATCTAGAGTTTTTTGTTTTTTTTTTTTTACTTACACTGAATATGGAACTGACAGAGAAAAGAAAAAGTCCACACCTACTGGTCCACCCACTCCACACATTAACCACAAGCCTACAGGGCACTTATACCCCCTTCCTGCCCAGGCCAATTTCCAGCTTTCAGCGCTGTCACATTTTGAATGACAATTGCGTGGTCATGCAACACTGTACCCATATGAAATTTTTATCATTTTTTTTAAGACAGAGCTTTATTTTGATGGTATTTAATCAACTCTGGGTTTTTTATTTTTTCTTAAACAAACCAAAAGCCACTGAACATTTTGAAAAAGAAAAAAGTTTCTTAATTTTTGTTATAAAATTTTGTAAATAAATGATTTTTCTCCTTCACTGATGTGCGCTAATGAGGCTGCAATGATGGGCACTGATAGGCTGCACTGATGGACACTCATGAGGAGGCACTGGTAGGTGGCACTGATGGGCATTGACAGGCATCCCTGATGAGCACTGATAGGCGGCACTGACTGGCACTGATGGGTGACACTGAAAGGCAGCTCAGATGGGCACTGATATGGGGTATTGATGTGCACTGGTAGGCACTGATATGTGGCATTGATGTGGCACTGACAGCTGGCACTTATGGACACTGACAGGTGGCACTGCTGGGGCTACACTGATCATCAGGGCACACTGATCATCAGTGCTCTGATGATCAGTGTAGGTGTCCCCTCCGCCGAATGCCGATTACCGGCTCTCCTCTCGAGCTGTCAGCGTGACAGCTCGTGAGGAGAGAAATGCCGATAACCGACATTTCCCTGTTTACATGTGATCAGCTGTGATTGGACACAGCTGATCACATGACCAAGCCGACATCTTCGGCTCTTTCTGTGGATCGGTGATCCGCTGTGATCGCCACACGCTACCTGAGCCGCGCATGCATCATATGACGTCCTCCCAGAACGAGAGAACCACCTTGCGCCCGTCATTGGACTATATGGCGGGCGGGAGGTGGTTAAAATACCAGTCTATTCTTCTGAGATGCCCAGAACATGCTATGAGATGATCATGAGGTTTTTCCACTTCAATGATTATTCCCTGTATTCTCCTTAAAATTATCCTGCTTATGACAAGCTGTTCAAAATTTGACCACTCATCAATTTATTTTTCCAATAAGTTTTTGGAAAAGTTTACTCCCGAAAAAAATATATGTGTTGATGAGTCCCTTGTGCATTTCACTGGAAGGCTGGGCATTAAACAGTATAGTCCCAGTAAACCGGACAAATATGAGGTAAGGTTACACAAGCTATGCGACAAGTCTACAGGATATACATATAACTTCCCTGGATGCTCTACCTATATAGGGACTAGTGGCAAAATTGTTTGGCACCTTGTATAAGGGCTTCCTACAAAGACTGATCGCCTGCAAACAAGGGGAGTCAGCCAGTTTGCAAAGTAAAGAGATATTAGCCCTAAAGTGGGAGATAAAAGAGGTCTATATCCTTTCCTCCATCCACGACACCTTGGTGGAACTTCAAGAAAAGGTCCTGTTAAAAAACCCAAGTGCATACACACCTATAACCTGATCATAGGTGGGGTGGGGAAGGGGTCAGAGGTGGTGGATCTGAACAAACCAAATGTTACAGTCCTACTGTATCCTCAGTTCCCTGCTATTGGTGTATTCTGTTGCATACTGCTGTAACAGATGACTAAACATTGTTGCTAGAGATGAGCGAATCGAACTAGGCGAACCGGAATTCGAGTCGAATTTCAGGAAATATTCGATTCGTGTCGAAACCGAAATTTTGCCTACTTCGGGTGCGCGAATCGAACATTTCCCGATCAGCCGGCAAAAGTGTCCCTGCAGTGAGCTCCGCTATTTTCTGACAGTTCTCTGACAGAAGGAACACATGTTTAGCGGTTGAAACATTGTATCTATTAGTTTACATTTAGGATACAGATGTTTCAACCACTGTACATGTGTTGTGAGAGAACTGTCAGAAATAGAGGAACTCTGCACATACACTTTTTGCCGGCTTGGAATTATTCTTCTTTTCATCCTACTTCTTCTTCTTCTTCATCCTCAGAAGAAGAGGATGAGGATGAGGATGAAGAAGAAGAAAGAAGAAGAAGAAGAAGAAGAAGAAGAAAAGAAGTAGGATGAAAAGAAGAATAATTCCAAGCCGGCAAAAAGTGTATGTGCAGAGTTCCTCTATTTCTGACAGTTCTCTCACAGCTTCTTCACATGTACAGCGGTTGAAACATCTGTATCCTAAATGGAAACTAATAGATACAATTTGTATCTATTAGTTTCCATTTAGGATACAGATATTTCAACCGCTGTACATGTGAAGAAGAAGCTGTGAGAGAACTGTCAGAAATAGAGGAACTCTGCACATACACTTTTTGCCGGCTTGGAATTATTCTTCTTTTCATTCTTTCTTCTTCTTCCTCATCCTCATCCTCATCCTCTCTTCTGAAAAGAAGAATAATTCCAAGCCGGCAAAAAGTGTATGTGCAGAGTTCCTCTATTCTGCAGATACACTTAGAGGAGCTCTGCAGATACACTTAGAGGAGCTCTGCACATACACTTTTTGCCGGCTTGGAATTAATCTTATTTTCATCCTACTTCTTCTTCTTCTTCTTCTTCTTCTTCATCTCATCCTCAGAAGAAGAAGAGGATGAGGATGAGGATGAGATGAAGAAGAAGAAGAAGTAGGATGAAAAAAAGAATAAATTCCAAACCGGAAAAAAGTGTATGTGCAGAGCTCCTCTAAGTGTATCTGCAGAGCTCCTCTAAGTGTATCTGCAGAATAGAGGAACTCTGCACATACACTTTTTGCCGGAAACCGCTGTATGGAGTGAATGTCCCAGAACTGTCAGAAATAGACTATTTATGACAGTTCTGGGACATTCACTGCATACAGCTGTTTTAACCGCTGTATGGAGGGAATGTCATGGAACTGTCAGAAATAGACTATTAATGACAGTTCTGGGACTGTCCTTCAATGCAGCGGTTGAAACATTGTATGTATTTGTTTCCATAAATGGATCCATTTTTGGAAAAACAAATACATACAATGTTTCAACCGCTGTATGGAAGGACAGTCCCACAACTGTCATTAATAGTCTATTTCTGACAGTTCCATGACATTCCCTCCATACAGCGGTTAAAACAGCTGTATGGAGTGAATGTCCCAGATCTATCAGAAATAGACTATTTATGACAGTTCTGGGACATTCACTGCATACAGCTGTTTTAACCGCTGTATGGAGGGAATGTCATGGAACTGTCAGAAATAGACTATTAATGACAGTTCTGGGACTGTCCTTCATGCAGCGGTTGAAACATTATGTATTTGTTTCCATAAATGGATCCCATTTATGGAAACAAATACATACAATGTTTCAACCGCTGCATGGAAGGACAGTCCCAGAACTGTCATTAATAGTCTATTTCTGACAGTTCCATGACATTCCCTCCATACAGCGGTTAAAACAGCTGTATGGAGTGAATGTCCCAGATCTATCAGAAATAGACTATTTATGACAGTTCTGGGACATTCACTGCATACAGCTGTTTTAACCGCTGTATGGAGGGAATGTCATGGAACTGTCAGAAATAGACTATTAATGACAGTTCTGGGACTGTCCTTCAATGCAGCGGTTGAAACATTGTATGTATTTGTTTCCATAAATGGATCCATTTATGGAAACAAATACATACAATGTTTCAACCGCTGCATGGAAGGACAGTCCCAGAACTGTCATTAATAGTCTATTTCTGACAGTTCCATGACATTCCCTCCATACAGCGGTTAAAACAGCTGTATGGAGTGAATGTCCCAGATCTATCTATCAGAAATAGACTATTTATGACAGTTCTGGGACATTCACTGCATACAGCTGTTTTAACCGCTGTATGGAGGGAATGTCATGGAACTGTCAGAAATAGACTATTAATGACAGTTCTGGGACTGTCCTTCAATGCAGCGGTTGAAACATTGTATGTATTTGTTTCCATAAATGGATCCATTTATGGAAACAAATACATACAATGTTTCAACCGCTGCATGGAAGGACAGTCCCAGAACTGTCATTAATAGTCTATTTCTGACAGTTCCATGACATTCCCTCCATACAGCGGTTAAAACAGCTGTATGGAGTGAATGTCCCAGATCTATCAGAAATAGACTATTTATGACAGTTCTGGGACATTCACTGCATACAGCTGTTTTAAACCGCTGTATGGAGGGAATGTCATGGAACTGTCAGAAATAGACTATTAATGACAGTTCTGGGACTGTCCTTCCATGCAGCGGTTGAAACATTGTATGTATTTGTTTCCATAAATGGATCCATTTATGGAAACAAATACATACAATGTTTCAACCGCTGCATGGAGACAGTCCCCCACAACTGTCATTAATAGTCTATTTCTGACAGTTCCATGACATTCCCTCCATACAGCGGTTTAAAACAGCTGTATGGAGTGAATGTCCCAGATCTATCAGAAATAGACTATTTATGACAGTTCTGGGACATTCACTGCATACAGCTGTTTTAACCGCTGTATGGAGGGAATGTCATGGAACTGTCAGAAATAGACTATTAATGACAGTTCTGGGACTGTCCTTCAATGCAGCGGTTGAAACATTGTATGTATTTGTTTCCATAAATGGATCCATTTATGGAAACAAATACATACAATGTTTCAACCGCTGCATGGAAGGACAGTCCCAGAACTGTCATTAATAGTCTATTTCTGACAGTTCCATGACATTCCCTCCATACAGCGGTTTTTTTAAAACAGCTGTATGGAGGAGTGAATGTCCCAGATCTATCAGAAATAGACTATTTATGACAGTTCTGGGACATTCACTGCATACAGCTGTTTAACCGCTGTATGGAGGGAATGTCATGGAACTGTCAGAAATAGACTATTAATGACAGTTCTGGGACTGTCCTTCCAATGCAGCGGTTGAAACATTGTATGTATTTGTTTCCATAAATGGATCCATTTATGGAAACAAATACATACAATGTTTCAACCGCTGCATGGAAGGACAGTCCCAGAACTGTCATTAATAGTCTATTTCTGACAGTTCCATGACATTCCCTCCATACAGCGGTTAAAACAGCTGTATGGAGTGAATGTCCCAGATCTATCAGAAATAGACTATTTATGACAGTTCTGGGACATTCACTGCATACAGCTGTTTTAACCGCTGTATGGAGGGAGGGAATGTCATGGAACTGTCAGAAATAGACTATTAATGACAGTTCTGGGACTGTCCTTCAATGCAGCGGTTGAAACATTGTATGTATTTGTTTCCATAAATGGATCCATTTATGGAAACAAATACATACAATGTTTCAACCGCTGCATGGAAGGACAGTCCCAGAACTGTCATTATTAGTCTATTTCTGACAGTTCCATGACATTCCCTCCATACAGCGGTTAAAACAGCTGTATGGAGTGAATGTCCCAGATCTATCAGAAATAGACTATTTATGACAGTTCTGGGACATTCACTGCATACAGCTGTTTTAACCGCTGTATGGAGGGAATGTCATGGAACTGTCAGAAATAGAGACTATTAATGACAGTTCTGGGACTGTCCTTCCATGCAGCGGTTGAAACATTGTATGTATTTGTTTCCATCAAATGGATCCATCCTTGGATCCATTTTCTGGAAACAAATACATACAATGTTTCAACCGCTGCATGGAAGGACAGTCCCAGAACTGTCATTAATAGTCTATTTCTGACAGTTCTATGACATTCCCTCCATACAGCGGTTGAAACCTGTATGGAGTGAATGTCCCAGAACTGTCAGAAATAGACAGAAACTGTCACAG